ACAAGGAGCGCTATGCAAAAATGAACACCTCCGGCCCAACATAGAGCCCATATTCATATCTAGATCCACCCACGGACCTCAAGCCGATTCAGATTGCACCGTACTAGTCTAATAACCTTTTAAGGCTCCATAATAATCTCTTTTTTTCCTATAACACGTAAGAACAACCATCATAACCGGAACAAGCTTCCACAGTCCACCACCAGACGAACCGAGCGTCCTCTAGGCATGAATTCCCAATTAGCGATATTACCACAATCTTCATACTTGGTTTCCATTCTTCAATCAATCAAGTGACTATACGTCACACTTATACAATTTTCCCGTAGGATATGCTCCCATGACCTTCCGCACCAGGTAACAAGTCTGTACATTCATACTATTGGCCACACCAACGCTGTAAAGCAATTCAAGAATCCGCATTCAGTATGCAAAGCCTCTTCACACCAGGCACTAATCTCAGGTGATGCCAAAGACAATACCAGCTTACTCTAACCATCTGAATCCTTTCCCGCTCATCTAAGCTCTTGACATTCTTGTCGACACCAAACTGTAACCTTGATCCTCAACTTTCAAATCCCATGCCGATCACTACACTTAGTCATGCCAATGCGCAAGAGTACAAGAATTTCATCATAACTTCGGCACCACTAATAGGGTAAACACTCCATCATATAGAAACATTTTACTTAGCTCATTTCAAGAGAACTATTACAACAAGCAGCCAAATTCCCATGACCACAGAAAATATAAACCTCGAGTAGTGGTTTAAACCACCATAATCCTTCCGGGATCCATCTACACATAACATGACGTAAATGCTCGATTGCCCCCAAATAAAATCAATTATGGCGGCCGTCAAACTTCGCACGTACCACCACAAATTACATGCACAACTTAACACGCTGAAGGAGCTGATCATTGCCATCATCATGCCAATTCAACCATTGCTAACCAAACCCAACTTCTCTTAATTTACTCTGGATCTTCCTTAGAAGTAACAACAACTCCTTTATCATAATCCGCTGCAAAAGATTGATATTCAACCATACTATGGACTCGAAATCCTTAGATACCACACCTTAACTTTTGAATCTACTAGGACCGCTATTGAGAAGCACCTGGCTGAATCATCTTCCTTGTAACTCGCCTCTACACGAAGCATAAATCCTGAGTCTTCCCAAAGCCTGAGCATGAATCGATAAGGCCAACTATAGCACACATTCCTCAAATCGCTTGTTCAAATTATCACTGATATTCTCTTTCCTTAATCGTAATAACCCATCAATATGCCGATAACCAGAAATCTTACAAATAGACGACCATGCAATCCAACAGTGGGCGGTGGGACTCTCCCACATAGCTTGAATCTACTATTGCATAAACCTGAAACCCACCAAGATTCTTCCTTCATCGACATGATCTAGCCCAATCAACTCGCCAAATTCCTCGAAATCCTTTCTGTTAAACACTTCATGAATATTCAGAATCACTAGCCACATTCACATATTCGACCTCTTCCTTGATAGTCAGTAGAAATTCTCCATAGGAGCTTCGTCAACACCACGCAAGCGCTAACCCGCTCACAGGAGATAACCCACCTTTGGAAACTTCATGCCGACATCATCCAGCGACGCTGCACTGGGTACAATTACTATGAAATCAGCATCCCATCTTGAGCCCATGCTTATTCACCCACTGTACAGGTCCGTTCACTCCTCATGGACATCAACTAAAGGTGCGACAATACATTCCAATCGAAAGTCATGTTGTATCCTTCCTCATATCGAGAAACTCCTTCCTATCACATCCAATCCCCTGTCGTAAAACAGCTGATGCTCCAAATAAGGTCCATAGACCTAGTCACTAACCACCCTAAATCCCAAACCACTCAAAACCTTTCTCAAGGCATGTAGTCATCCTACCACATAACTCATATGCTACTTGGCCACTCTCCCACTTTGGTCAAACCCTCTCCTTTAAGTAACTACTCGACTTCTGTTTCTCATACTTGGCCTTTTGGAAATTTAACCACCGTAAGACACTTTCCACATGTCTTTCCTCATCCTTCGCTGCCCAGTTATTGCCTTAAATCAAAATCTATCTCTGTAGCATTTGAACCAATAGATTACTACTAACTTTAAACCTTTCCGGAAATCACCTTTCTCGAGCCATCAATACCAGGAATGCCGATTCGACCCTGAACCCCTGCACACTGCGACCTCAGACGGCCGCTTTCTTGACACCATTTATAATACTCTGCCCAAGGCGAATTGAAGGAAACCATAACATCGACAGACTTAACACATTATAACCAATCAAGGACTATGCCGCAACATCACAGGCAAAGATTCCACCATGCTCGAAAATATCGAGTCCTGCTACTCCATCAACCCAAGTCTGAACATTCTTAGTTTGATTGCCTTTCCTCCGTCGGAAGTAATATACTGAATCTCTGTATCATGCACTGAGCAAACCTACTTTTAAGTCATTCACTGCCCCGACAAATAGGCAAGCATCCTACCATCACATCAATACTTGCGATAACAACTCATGAGCATTATAGCAACCTATGCATAGCCTCAAAGATCTTAGAAGTATAACTACTGAGCTGAAATGACAGAATATCCTTCCACAAGGTGACGCCAATAGCCCAATCAACTATGCAGGGAGAAACATCCCCACCACATCTGTAGTACCATTACAATTCCTCAATTCCCGATTTATAACCAGCGCTTCACGTCGCATAAAATTGAATGGGAAAGAAATGAAGGCATAAGCCTCAAAGGAATCAAATCGCACGATGAGGAATCAAGAAGGAAACTGCTCCTAACAGCCCTGTAGCCTCTCGAAGATAAGTACAGACGTCTCTGTACCGATCCGCAAGACTCTACTAGACTCGCTCATGACTCGTGAGACCTAAGTGAACCTAGTACTCTGATACCATGTTGTCACGACCAAAAATCCGTTAAAGGTCGTGATGGCGCCAGATACTACTGTCAGGTAAGCCAACACTAAATAGTTAATTAAATTCTCATTTTAATATTTTTGAAATCGTAAATTTACTTCAATTTATCTGGTAAAAGATGAATTTACAGAATAATAACAATGTTTTCAAATTTCAATACTGAACATCCCATAATCATCCCAGAACCCAATGTCACAAGTGCATGAGCATTTTTTAGGAGTTTAAAATAAAATACAATAACTGTACGGAAAACAAATTTGGACAGGAAAGAAAGTACAATACTCTGAAGGAGACTCTGCTTGATGCGGGTCGTACATATGATGCAGCTCACCTATGTCCCCATCATAACCGTGCCTCTGAGCCCACAAGGCCACTAGTCATATATGTACCTGCACAAAACGTGCAACAAGTGTAGTATGAGTACGTAAATTAACGCGTACCCAGTAAGTATCCCGCCTATCCTCGTAGAAGTAGTGACGAGGGATCGACGTTGACAATTACTGTGGCCATTAGTAATATATTTAGTCGTGGGTTTATTAAAAATGACAGTAAACTCAAGAAAATCATGAATCAAGTAAACAATTCCTTTGTTAATAAGTGGTATCCAAATTCACATTTCATCATTTATCAATTTATCTCAGACCAAGGAGGCAATATCATTATATATAAATTTCAAGGGAAGCAATACAAGCATGCACAAATCATGCCGAGGCCGTACGTTCCGATCCAATAAATATTTAAACTGTGCACTACCAGAGGGTCGAATGGCAGGAACTATAGATGTATCTATTTAATCTGCCGAAGCGAACGACCCGCTCCCATGAGAGTAGTAGGAAATACCCCGCTCGCGAATCATACATACGACGCCCCCTATATAGCCGTTCTCAAAATAATAGACGAAAAATATATATTTTTTGTATATATATACATTTTCTATGTCATATACAAAAATTATATAAATTTTATACACTTTTTCGGCAATCGAATGTAAATAATTTCTGACACAGCCTAAAAGTGATAATACCCTTTTGTGAAAAGCACCACTTTTGAAAAAAGTACACTTAAAAGCACTGTTTAAAAGTTTAGTCAAACACTAATTGTTGCTTAAAAATACTTTTCAAATAAATTAGTCAAACACAAACTACGTCTTATCATAAAGTACTTTTAAGAAAAATACTTTATTTTAGAAATACCGCCTAACAGACCACTATAAAAACCAACTCACCTAACCGGTGTCACAAAAATTTCCAATTAGTTGACTAAAAAGCTAAAAATGGAGTACTACAATTTAGCTTTCTTCTATACAGTTTTGGCAGCAGGGATTTTAACCCTTTACGGTATACTAAAGAGAGCAAATGGATGGTTTTATTCAATCAAATTTAGTTCAAAGAAATATCTCATTCCTCAAGGTGAAATGGGCAGGCCATTTATTGGAAATACTCTTTTTTTCTTCGGTTTTGCTGGCGATCATGGCTGATTTCTATCCTACTTTTTTACTAGGTAATAATTAAATTTTTCGCACTCATTCTTGTACTGATTTGATACCTGAGGGTGTATTTGGTACGAAGGAAAATATTTTCCGAAAAATATTTTTCAGCATAAATGTTTTCTCACTATCGAACACTCTATGAAATTTACAAACTATTTCAAAGGGATTAATGGAGAAAACAATAAGCGAAAAAGTCGGGTTTCCTCTTTTAGTTGAAAATATTTTTCAAGAAAAATATATTTTGATGTTTGGTTACTAGAAAATATCTTAAACCGATAGTTTATCGGAAATAACTTCTCTACGTTTTCAAGTAGGGGTAAGGTCTGCGTACACATTACCCTCCCAGATCTCTTGTGGACTTTCACTGGATTTTTATTGTTGTTATTGTTGGTTACCAGAAAAATATAGAAAATGTTAATTTGTACCTAACACACTCTGATCAATTCATGATGTTTTGTTTTTCTGTTGTTTTGAATTTGGTTGTTTAATTGCCTTAATTTTTTTTTTTTTTTTTTTTTTTTTTTTTTTTTGAAAAAAGAATAGGTTTGGGCCAGAAGGGATGTACAAGGCACACACATATTTGGAAAGTTAAGCATTATCATCACAAAGCCAGAAACAATTAGGAAAATCTTGACGGATGAAGAAAATATTAAGAGAGGTATGCCTGAATATATATCAAAGCTAGCTGGAATAACAAATTCAATCGAAGAAGACAAGCGAATTCGTCGATCAATAACTCCGATAAAGAGTCACGGATTATTATCCAACTATTTTGATTATATAAACGATCTTGTGAAAACTACGTTCGAGAAATACGCTGCTACAGAAGAACCCTTTGAGTTCCTCACTGAAATGAAAAAACCTACATTTGAGGTGTTTATGAGAATTCTTACAGGTGGTGAGGTTGCTAAAGAATTGTTTGATGCTGTGTTCAAGAAGAATAATTTGCTAATGAGTGGCGATCACAGCTTGCCCATTAATATACCTGGATTTGCTTACAATAAGGCATTGAAGGTAAGATGTGTTGAATTATGCGACTATTTTAAAATATACTTTTATTTAAATGTATTTTCTAACACCTTCTTACATGCAGATCTAGTTCTTTTTCATAAGGCAAAACGCACGATTTCTTTTTTTAATAGTGAGTGATGGTAAAGGGGAGCCTTGGAGTAACTGGTAAAGTTGCTGTCATGTGACCAGGAGGTCACAGGTTCGAGTCTTGGAAATAACCTCTTGCAGAAATACAGGGTAAGGCTGTCTACGATAGACCCTTGTGGTCCGGCCCTTTCCGGGACCCGCGTATAGCGGGAGCTTAGTTCATCGGGATGACCTTTAGTCAGTGATGGTGAAACTTGAACGTCCCAAGACTCTACTTGCTATGATTTCATGTAAAATTGTGTGACTATCTCGTCTTAAGGTCATGTGGTTCCATGGCCCATAAAAAATATTCTGTAAGACCCGGCCGGTCGTTTTTAATATATTAGCCCCGATCCCCTATTTACTGCACTTTCCGTATCCGCTTCTGCTTATGTGACTTGCCGGGAAGGTCTTGTTTTGGTTTCGGAGTATTTTGGGACACTTAGTCCTTAAAACGGAAGCTTAAGTCTTAGGATTTTGACCATAGTCGGAATAGTGTGAAGACGACTCCGGAATGGAGTTCTGTCGGCTCTGTTAGCTCCGTTGGGTGATTTTGGACTTAGAAGCGTGTCCGGACTGTGAATGTGAGGTCTGTAGGTAATTTAGGTTTGAAATCGCAAAAGTCAAATTTTTGAAAAGTTTGACCGGGGGGTTGACATTTTGATATCTGGGTCGAATTCCGATTCCGGAAGCTGGAGTAGGTCCATAATGTTGAATATGACTTGTGTGCAAAATTTGAGACCAATCAGACGTGCTTTGGTATGATTTGGCATCGTTTGTAGAATTTTGAAATTTCAAAGTTCATTAAGTTTGGATTGGAGAGTGATTCATGTTTTTGATGTTATTTGTGGTGGTTTGAGGATTCGACTAAGTTTGTATAGTGGTTTGGAAGTTGATGGTATGTTTGGTTGAGGTCCCGGGGGCTTCGGGTGAGTTTCAGGTGGTTAACTGATTATTTTTGGACTTTGGTTGATGGCTGATATCTGCTGGTGTATATTTTCTGGTTTCCTCTTACGCATTCGCGAGAGGAGACTCACGTTCGTGAAGGGTTAATGTATTGTAGGAAGATTTTGTTCTTCGCGTTCGCGAAGAAAAGGACGAGAACGAGAAGGTGTGGTCTGTGTGTGCATCGTGAACACGTGAGTAGAATCGCATTCGCGAAGAGAAGTGAGGCAGCTGGGGACCCCAGGTCTTTGGTCTACGCGTTCGCGAGGTATAGGCCGTATTCACAAAGAGTAAACTGGGAGGCAGTTTGAGTTGGCCTAAGCGAACTCGAGAGGACGGTCGCCTTCGCGATGAAGGAAATCTGGGCAGACAGTATTAATTTCAAAATGAGTGTTTGAACCCATTTTTCCTATTTTGAGCTAGAGAACAAGGAGTTGGGTGATTCTTGAAGGGATTTTTTTGGAGTTGATTGGGGTAAGTGATTCCTACTTGATTTTGGTTAAATCCCATGATTTCATCTTTAATTATATCATCTAATTTGTGATTTGGGGTGAGAAATTGGGGGAAAAGAGGAAGAACTCTTGAGTTAGAATTTTGAGGTTTTGAATGGGATTTTGTTATCGGATTTAAGTAATTTTGGTATGGTTAGGCTCGTGAGTCAATGGGATTTTGGGTTTTGTGACTTTTGTCGGATTTCGAGATATGGGCCCGAGGGCCGTGTTCCGGCCGATTTTGGATTTTTGGCTTATAATTTTGTCTTTTTCTTGTGGAATTGATTCCTTAAGCCTATATTAATTATACCGTACTTCTTGTGGCTAGATTCGGGGAGTTTGGAGACTGATTCAAGGGGCGAAGGCATTTTGGAGTAGGATTTACTCGGTTTGAGGTAAGTAACGCTTTCAAATTTGGTACTAAGGGTTCGAAACTCCAAACTATGTGCTATATGATTGGTATTGAGGTGACGCACATGCCATGTGACGCGCGTGCGAGCGTGCACCATGAGAATTGTGGCCTGGTTGATTCCATGGCATTGTATAGTGACTCTATTTTGTTGATATCCGTATTTTCATCTTGTGATAAAGTAATTGAGCTATCAATCATGTTAGATAACATGTTTAGGCTTTATGCCGGTACTGTTGGGACCCCTAGTGGTCGTTTCTTGTTGTCATCTCACTGATTTTATTGATATTATGTACTCAGTCATGTTCAAGCATTTCATATCATATCTCCATCTCAGTTGTTATTTATTGATACATCATATCATTGTTTCGGGCTAGTTTCCATGATATTGTGAGACCGTGAGTGAGACTGGAGAGATTGATGACTGAGTGAGGCTGAGAGCCTGATTATGAGTGACAGTTATGGGATCGGGCTGCATGCCGTGGTGGTTATACTAGTTTTATGATAGCACTTGGGCTGTAGGAGCCCCTCCAGAGTCTGTACCATACCCCCAGTGAACGCGGTTGATATTATTGAGGGATGGATCTTCCCTGGATACGGATCTTGTCCGAAGTACTTGATACCTGGAGATGGATCTTCTCCACGGGGCTGGATTGGCCTTCCTCGATACTGGGTGACTTATTGTCAGTGATGTATATGTTCTGGGATGGATCTTCTCTGGGCCGTATGTACCATATACAGTACCGAGTGGTTGAGTATTCGAGAGTGTGAGCACATGAGGCTGACGACATGGTGCATCACATACAACATGAGCATTGGCATGTAGAGATAGCAAAGTTATATTCTTTATACTGTTCAGATCTGCTTCACTTTACTGTTTTGAGTTGCCTTATTAATTTGAAAGCATGCCTACATTTTTGTTAAGCTATTTCTATTTTATCTGTACGGTTGAGTTCGTCACTACCTTTCAGTCCAAAGTTTGGACTTGTTACTTATTGAGTTAGATGTACTCACGTTACTCCCTCCACCTCGTGTGCAGATCCATGCATTTTTGGTCGTGGCGGTAGTTGCTGATTGCGGCTTCAGAGTTCAGAGACTACCAAGGTAGCTGCACGGCATTCATAGGCCTTGACTCTCCTTCTGTATCACTAGTTGAATTTTCAGTTTATTTCTCTAGACACTGTAGTGGACTGTATTCTGATTTAGACGCTCATGTACTCTGTGACACCCCGGTTTTAGGATGGATTGTTTCGTATTTTGGATATTTCTATTTTCAAAAAGTCTTTCCTAAATTATTAAATTGCTTCTGTCTTTATGTTCAAAGATTTTTCTGTGTTGAGATGTTGAGTTGTGGCTTGCCTAGTTCCACGATAGGCGTCATCACGACGGTTAGATTTTGGGTCGTGACAAGTTGGTATCAGAGCCTAGGTTACATAGGTCTCACGAGTTTTGAGCAGGTTTAGTAGTCTTGCGGATCGATATGGAGACATCTGTACTTATCTTCGAGAGGCTGCTGGACCATTAGAAAACTTCACATTATTGAATTCTAGTCATGTGAATCTTTTGATTCTGGTAACTAAATTTCTGTTATTCTAATTCTCTCACAGATGGTGAGAACGCATACTACGGGGTAGGATGGACAGCCACTAGTACCACCAGTCAAGGCCGTGAGAGGCCGAGGTCGCGTAGAGCCCGCGGTAGAGGCAGAGGTGCAGCTCGCACTGCAGCTAGGGCAACACCTGCAGATCCACCTGTTGCCCCAATTTAGGAGCAGGCTCCAGTTGTGGATGAACCTGTGGGACCAGCTCAGGCACCACCTGTGCTCATTGTGATTCCAAGCCTTTAGGAGGCCTTAACTCAGATTCTTACCATGTGCACTAGTCTTGCTCAGGCGGTCTCTATTCCGGCAGCAGTAGCCACTTCTCAGGCCGGGGGATGCACTCAGACTCCCGCCGCCTGCACACCAGAGCAGGTGGTACATGGAATCCAGACACCGGGGGCACCACCAGCCCAGCCGGTTGCAGCTGCTCAGGACTATGTGGTTCCTGTCATGCCCGATAATGAGAAGCGTCGATTGGAGAGGTTTGGGAGACTCCAACCTCAACTTTCAGTGGTATCGAGGTAGAGGATATACAGGGTTTCTTGGACAGATGTCAGAGGATACTCCATACAATAGGTATTCTGGAGACCAACGGGGTCTCGTTCACTACTTTTCAGTTTGCTGGAGATACCTTCAACTGGTGGGAGGCTTATGAGAGGCGTAGGCGGTTGGTGCAGCGCCATTTACCTGGCAGCAGTTCTCCGTTCTCTTTTTGGAGAAGTTCGTGCCTTAGTTCCGTAGAGAGGAGTTGAGCAGGCAGTTCGAGCAGCTTCGTCAGGCTGATATTTTCGTGACGCAATATGAGATGAGATTTTCAGAGTTGGCCCATCATGCTATCTGGTTGGTTCCCACAGACAAGGAAAGGATTAGGAGGTTCACACATGGCCTCATTTTTCATCTGCGATTGCTTATGACTAGAGAGAGGTTGTCGATATTTCTCGTCATATTGAGATGGTTCGTAGCCAGGAGCGGGTTGAGAGGGAGGCCAAGAGGCCTCGTGGACAAGGTGTATTCAACGATGTTCCTTCTGGGGGTCAGTTCCACCACGGTAGGGGTCGTTCTTTCATTCATGCTCAGACGACTCGCCTGGTTCACCGTGGTGCATCATCTGGCCATGGTGCACACAGCTATCAGCAGGGCCAGTCTTCATTCAGTGCACGACTAGCTCAGAGTTCATCTCATGCACCATCAACTCAGGGTTCATCTGTTTCATGACCTTCTAGTAGTTATTCCGGTGCTCGGGGTTCCCTTCATTCCCCACCTCCATTTGCAGAGAGAGGTTGCTTTGAGTGTGAAGATTTGGGTCATATCAAGAGTCATTGTTCCCGCCTTTTGGGAGGTTCATATCAGCAGAGGAGTCAGCCTTCGACTTTGGCACCAGTTACTTCACCACCCGCCCAGCCAGATCAGGGTGGAGCTCAATCAAATATGG